ACTGTACTGACAAACACTATTTAACATGCGCATTAACTCCTCTGAACTACTGCACTATAATTATAGTGTCTATCCAACTACCGCATTGGCTGCTGACTTTAATACATTTCTTAATTTTTTCGTTTGTTCCATTTCAGTTCCATTTATTTGGTGTAGCCCTGTGAGCCATTCGGCTCTTGAATCGGGTGCAACCGCAACAAACAAAAAACAAAAACACGAACAAGAAAAACATCTTGAAGTGACTATGTGCATGTGCAAACAGAAAATCCAGGAAAAAACATCAAAATATTACAGCAAAAGCACCGTACACCAACGCTGTGTGCAAAATCCCAGTGGGATGCAAGTTAAACAACAACAACAACCACAAGACAACTTAGATTAAGGCCATCAGTCTAACTCCGAACTACAACAAACAAAAACATGGCCAAACCAAAAAACTTTTCGAAATCACCAAAATAAAGCCATAAATGCAATGTAACAGTGATCACAGGGACTGTGACTGAATTTTTAACAATAAACTACATAAATAACATGTAACACCAAACCCTAGAGCACTGTGTATTTTGAGGGTGTCGTTGTCAGCATAATCACTCGTGTTTACATCGAAGGGAGAAAAACGCAAAGCAAACATGCCATGACATTTGATCAACACCTTCTGTTCGTCAAAAATTATCAACGTCGGTGGCGGCGGGACACACCGTGACCCCACCCACAGTGGCTGTGCTTCTGCCATGAGCTGGATTATTCAATGGCCTTCATACCCATACACAAACGCCCGGTTATGCGCGGAGTTATAATCCTACCAACAACAACACAAAACTAACCATACAATATTAACTGGTATTGGGCAAACATCCCAATGCTGGAAGATTACTTGCTAGATTATCTCAATTGGAATTTAATGTATGTTGAACTTCTTTCACGTCGCACGTGGCTAACCGTGCAAAGGACAACACACTAAACATACAACACACTAAACACACAACAATAAACAATATAGCAACATAGCGCTCCCTCTGTACTGCGAAAACTTTTGGGGAAACTTCAAGATAAATAATCTTGACACACAATGGGGCTTCACTCGGTAAACAAAATCGAATTCTGAGCCTGGTTAGTGCTTGGATGGGGCGACTAACTACCGTGCCCAAGAAAGGTGTAACACACCGACCGCCACGTCACCTTCAACCCGCACTCATAATCGCATCGGAGGTGAATTTCGCTTGAACACCCCTCGTGGCCCACAGGGCACCTGGAGGCCCACATCCAGCAGTGGACTGACGGAACGGGCCGTACGTCTCCTGCACAAGGGTACAAGAGTGGCAGATCCGCTAAAGTTTGTGGAGTGGCAGTGCCCTGTCTGGCAACCCCTGTTTGATGTAACATCTGCACGAAGCAGTATTATTTTAATCATCACTGTACTTTTAAAACCAAACTATTCTTCTTTACATTCTAGACATTAGGGTTGCTGTCTTTAACTCGGCACTCGGTCTATTATCACGACTGTGCATGACACCGTGATAGAGCTCAGCATGATACCACCATCACATCTCGGGACACATCAACACAGTATCTGCCACCGAAACCACAGGTACTAATCCCCCATAGCCCGGGACAAGTAGAAACCGCCCCGCGCATCCTAGAAATGCAGCGATCAACGTGTTTTTCATTGGTAGGCACAATTTGCCACTGTGTGCCTTTAATGTCCTGCTGGAGGAATGTCCGTGTGACTGCATACTTGCTGGAAGGGCTCCTGTAACCTGTAGAACTCGTTACCTGGAGATGTCTATCTCGATGCACAGCCCGGCGCTTCGAGCCAGCATTCTGTTTCCTTGGGGGCCCTGAATGCTGTGGACATGAGCGTTGCGTGCGGCTAACATATTCGCTTGGGTTTATTCACACTCGGACGCTACCACAGCGGTGTCATAGTTCGCACGGTGGACTTGCAATCCAGCCAGCAGTATAAATGTGTTCACCAACATTTAGTCGATCGAGATGTCGCTTATGGTGGGCTAAAATGTGGGTACTCCCACCTCTTACCAAGATGTCTAACCCGGAGGGGGATTTCTAGAGGTCTCCCTTCAGACAGCAGTGGCGTGAGTGAGAAATTGCAGGGCTGCGCTTTTACATTGGGCTTAAAACTTGTGTGGTACGATAGCTTTTGGAAATAAAAAAAAACCGAGCCAGCCAAGCCAAAAGAACATCCTCACTGCGTGTTACACCATCATGTTTATCTCTGCGAATCACCAACTCTTCGCTTCAATTTTCCTCGGAATTGCTCACTGATAATCAACCCCCTGATGGGATTACCAAGAGCGCCCAACCCTGTCATCCCCCTTTAATTAAACGTACGCAGGGTGGCTACCTATCACTCGGCAACAGGCAAGTACACGTATGTGTTCAGAATATAGAGGGTGATCCATTTGTTAACACAAATAACTAATAATATAATATCGAGAAATATCAAGAAAAACTTGTTTTTGTTATTTCAATAGTTGTTCTTTGTCTCACCAAGAACACATTCCCACAATGCAATGTGCTAATAACTTGTTATAATTTTACATTTAATAGAAATCAGTTTATTATTTAGTAGTAATACGTCGTGATTATCGAAGGGAGTTGGTACTCAGTAGTTACGTCGAGTGAAACTATTCATATCCCCACTTAAAACTGGTCATCAGAAAATATAAAAAAAATTTGAATTCCAATCAGGCCCTGCATTGTAAATAAGTGCAGTATCCATTCTCGTAAACTCTTATCTCTGTGGCTTATGTGCTATGAAGGAGAGCCATTGCCTGAAACGTCATCGCACATATATATTTTGTTATTTTCAGGTCACAATGTTCTTGATGGATGAGTTGAGTTATTTTATTTTAAAGCCTCTGCACGTTTCCCACCAAGCTCGATGTGCTTATTAAATCTCTCCACTATCTTGTCTAAGACAGAGAGCCATCACTTTCACAACATTTAATTAGCTGTTCACAACAGAGTACGAAGGTGATTCGAAACCAGTAGGTGAACTATAAACGGATCACCCTGCACGTGTACACTGTTTGTCCGCGGGAGCGACGGTGCAGTGGTTTGTGCCCGGCGCCATGAACCCGGTGACCCGAGTCAGATTTCTGCTGGCCATAGCTAACATCAGTGGTGAGTAGGGCTTCCACCTTTACCACTGTGGACAAAACCCAGACAGATCCCTCAGTCGGCACGAAGTATATTATCAAAACCGTGCAGTCTCCTGTCATAAAGTTCAATGGAATACTGCCACCACCACCACCAGCCCTTGGGACAAATGAATTCTTGCCACCCGAACCCAAACACCGATTCCCGGACTGTACCGGGTCAGACCTGGGCAGGTGGCGACCCTCACTGCACAGTGGTATCTGAATAAGTCTTGCCCCCACCCCCCACCATTATTCAACCTGCACTGACCAGTGTGGTGAAGTATGACCAAACAACCGCCACAACCAACACATTATGAGGCATTCAGCCCAGCAGTGGCTTGACAAATCAAACGGCTGTAAGTTATACAGATTATTACGGTATTATATTACAGCTATTTATCTGTTGGCGTGGCTACGTACGGTGCGAGAGACATTCAACATACATACGTACACTGTCGACTCTGCGTAGAGGAGCTAGCAAGGTGTGTGGGGGGTCACGTATAATTAATTTGTAGAGTTCACATCTGCGCCTCGATTGGAAGGAAATCGACGAAGGCGGCCCTGAGTCAAGGGCACTCAAAAAACACATGACCAGCGTCACAAAGCCGTGACGCGAAGGCCCCCAAAAAATAAAATCTGAGACGTGGATCTGTACATGCGCCACATTGATAGATACGGTACAATTACACTTAAGCAGCTGTCCGAGAAGCAGTAGCTTTGCTCTTTGCATACCCGGAATGTGATGTGTACCGGTCGAATCAAGGTGGAGGGCAACGCGTGCGGAGATGGCAAAGCCAGGATCTTGCGTAGGGAAAATATAAAAAGAACTCAAATCCTTTTTTTTTATTTTTGGCAGTGGTTCACGCGATGCGATATGGGCCCAGCAACCTGAGTTGGAGTTACGGCCACAGCCCACGATACCGACGGCGAGTGATATCTGAACCGGTCCAGGCGCCCGCCCCTCACCCTTCAGCAACATGCACCGAGCAGCGTGACAACAAATAAATAAATATGTAGACAACATCCCTCTTCCCCATATCTACTGATTAGATAGCGTCATAAAGATTGTCTCCGGTGATGCTGTATTGACAGTCGTGCACACGCGTAAATAACAACAAAGACTCAATTAATTCATGGGTTTTGAAAAAGGGCCATTGCCCCAAACGTGCTCTATGATTCAAACAAAATAATTTTAAGGCCACAGTGTTGTTGACGAACCCGTTGAGGTTATTATTATTACTGTGCGTGATAAACTATGGGCAAACAGCCCACGTGACTGATCCAGCGTGGGGAGACCGTGAGCAGTGCACTCGGTGGCCGCGTGCGGATCTCGCAGAGACGGTGGCGGAGTAAACTCCAACCATCAGCACAGGGGGTGCGGCAATGGATCAGGTGGGACCCCAATATTTGATTCGTCTCTCATGGTGGCTGTCAAGGGGCCCCCCAACTCGTAGTTTGGGCCACTGGGTTAGGGGGCATGGCACCCCCTCTGCCCCTGCGCTAGTTACGCGACTGCGTAGAGACCTCCACTAAACTAAGTGGATAGTCACCGACACCACGCGATACTCTTTGCATAGAGCCGCAGCTATGGTGTGCGTTGCCATCATGAAGGCCCCCCCAATACGGTGGAGGTTGGCCCCATAAAGACCTGATACCTGTACCTCCCCCCACCCCCCTCTGATGGCGTGGCAGGGTGAAGCTGGGTGGATAGCCTGTAGGATCCGCGATAAGGAACCAGTTTGGAGCTGATTTTGCCCTCCATTCCTCCTGCCAGCCGGTGTCTGCTGAGCAGTCATGGGGCGGCTGTTTGTACTGTGGTGCGTGTCGCGATGACGGAAGGCGTGCGGCGCGTGGATGTTGGAGATCTTCGAGTCGCGACAGACACGGGTTGGCGTTGACCTTCTCCAGTAGCTGGCGAGTTGCAACTTCTCGTTGGATGTGAGGGGCAAGAATGTTGCTCGGGACTGGAAGCCTTGGTAGAGGGGTCGATGGAAGAGTTCCCGAGATGATGCGCACCGATAATTACAAAGGGACGTAATTATTGGAATCAATTAGACACGTTGTGAAAGCGTAGGCTTTTGCGACCAATATTATCCAGTTCATTCTACTGGCTAGCTTTTCCAGCGTACACACATTCCTCACACACCTGCCAAATTGTTCAAGGTGCAAAGCAGCAAACCTTTTTGGAGTGCTCTTGATTGCTCTATGTTTATGTAAATGTGTGGCAATTTGAAAAACGTCTTGCCAGCTGTTGTCCGCGTGATGTCGACCGACTGTTCGCGTCCCCACCTCTGAGTCTGTGCGTCTGCGTGGGGGTGCGCTCAGGGTGAAGAGGACGAACCTCCCAACAAGGTCGAGGAGAAGCCCAATATGTTCTGCTGGAAGCGAAAGAGCAACATGGAAGAGCTGAAGAAAGAGGTGTCCTTGGTAAGCAGATCTTGTCGCGACTTAACACGTCGCCTTTCAATCTCACGACGATGGCCAATCGCTCCTCCGATACAGATTCATGATACTCTATTTGTAAAACGCCTTTTGTGTTTGTGACGTGTTTCACATTTGGATCGATGTATTGATGAGGGTTTTCACGGCTCGATGAATGAGAAATGTTCGCCAAAGCTGCTCTTTCGGAATAGCGGTGGAGAGCACTGCTACTTTCTCCTTGGCGACGTTTCGCCGCCCCCGTTGGAGGATGCTTCTTGTAGACGCCTCCATCGTGGGAGGAGGTGAAACGGCGCAAAGGAGAAGACAGCAGCGCTCCCCACGGCTATCCTGAAAGAGGAGCTTTCAAGACCATTTCTCAATTGGATCAATATTTGTAAGGGTTGCTGCCACAGTGGTGTAATGTTTCCCACGCTGCACTTGCAATCCGGAGGGCATTGTATCACCAACATCCCATTAAACGTGTAACGTTGGGCCAACGACGGCATGCGGTTGGAACCGTTGGGTCAACGTTGGGTCAACGTTTGTGCAAAGTTGGGGCAACGTTGATACGACGATACACGTTTACAGGGATAGGCATTCACTTAACTAAACTTGACCCAGGGCGGAGGCAGATTATGGGACTCGGGAGGGACGGCAGTGTCGAATTTTGCAGTCCGATGGGCCTGCGGAAGAGCGGGCAGGCAACACGCGATGAGGTCTGTGCATGTGCGCTGAGGTGGTTGCGTTCGCTCTCGCTTGAAGGACGATCACAAGCTGTCGATGGACGAGCTGCACCACAAGTACGGGACCAATCTGCTTCGGGTGAGTACTGCGGCACGGCTCGCATCGTCGCCATCGCCTTCGTGCATCGTTTCTACCGCGGCTCCCACGCTGTACACCTCCAGGCACTGGAGCAGAGATGGTGGTATTTGCGATTTATGTTTTTTGGCGTCGTCCGATCGTAGTCCAAACAGATACGACGTTCAAACATGACGCGGAGTAGACAGCGTGCTGGGCGCCAGTTGGCGGCCACGCTGGTGGCCTGTAACCCGGCAATGTTGTGGTGGCGGCAGGCGGCAGCAAGGGTTGGTGGATCACCGCGCAAATGTTGCGAAACTCCCTTTCGTGTGGGCGTCGAAAAGGTGCCTTATATTGGCCCGACAGGTGGTGGTATAGCAAATGTGGACTAATAACATCCGTCCTAATCTGTACGGGGATGGAGCGTTGTCTCCTCGCTCATACGCATAGGCTTTCTCCGGGTGCTTCGGTTTCCTCCCACACGTATAAACACTCACTGATTGGCTGGAAACATCTCGATCTACGCACCTGCGTGTGTTTGTTTATACACGCTGTCGTGTGGTGCAGTTTGCATAAATGACACTACTTTATAAACTCACATTATTACTTTACGCAACAAACTGGACGAAACAAAATTTAAATGCTGAACTGCGCTTGGGACTACTCCCCTCCTTGCCCACTTCATCTGAGTTATGGATACGCTATCTGCAAACGACGTCGTTAATTTAGCCTTTAAGTCGATGGGTTGTGCATGTTTTCCGATCGGGAGGTGGTGTGGTAATTGCACCACGGTGAATACAAGGAGGTGGCGTGGTAATCGCACCACGGTGAATACAAGGAGGTGATGTGGTAATCGCACCACGGTGAATACAAGGAGGTGGTGTGGTAATCGCACCACGGTGAATACAAGGAGGTGGTGTGGTAATCGCACCACGGTGAATACAAGGAGATGGTGTGGTAAGCACACCACGGCGGCAATGTAAGTTTCTATGACCCAAGAGTCTCTCTTTATGGCCCTGCCATATTTAATAAACTAAACTATTTTTATTTGACCGGATAAGGCCCACTGAGCTATAAAGCTATTTTTCAGAAGCAACCTTGCATAAATCATAGCCTAATGATGTGGCTTATCACGTGGAAATGTATTTTAGCCATGTTGATTCGAAATTTGGAGGTAAAAACCGGAGGACTCAGAAAAATCCACGGGACCGCGGGGAGAACATGTAAACTACAAATATACAGCATCAGTTGGGATGGAACCCACGACCTCCCATATACCAGGCGAGGTAGTTAACATCTTCCCACTGCGGCGCCAAGCTTGATGGGGGCCTCTACACGGCAGTGACCTTTGCAGGTCAAGGGTGGAAAGATTAATCGTCGCCCCCCTCCCCCACATCTGCAAAAGCCGTCATGCCACTGCCGCGGCCCGTGCTCACCGCATGTATCGAACATTGATGCACATGCTCGTGTCCCCTCGCCCGTCTCTCAGGGCCTGACGAACGTGCAAGCCGCGGAGATCCTGGCTCGAGACGGCCCCAACGCCCTGACCCCTCCCCCGACCACCCCAGAGTGGGTCAAGTTCTGCAAGCAGCTGTTTGGGGGCTTCTCGCTGCTGCTGTGGGTGGGAGCCATCCTGTGCTTCCTGGCCTACGGCATCCAGGCCGTCACTGAAGACGAGCCCTCCAACGACAACGTGAGCGTAGAGCAGAGACGGTTCGTCCATTCGGTCCATTAAATTGCTCATGTAGCTGCTGATGGAAGAGCCTCCACTAGAATTCCTCTAGAGGGTATCTTGCCCTCCTCTGCCATGGTTAGCCAGACTCTGAAGAGTACTCAACTACTTTATTGTTGTTGATTACTCGGGCCTCTTTAAAAATGGCAGCCGCCCCCACAGTCCGGCCTCCTGAAAGCTGGAAATCCCGTACAAGCCACGCCCATCGCGATTTCATCACCAAAACCCCACCCAGCACCTCCTGTCCCGCGGCATATGTGGGTACAGAGGTGAAACTTGTTTTTATTCCCCCCCCCCCCCCCCTCCAGCTGTTTTCGTGCTCATCCGATTATCGGATGAGTAATAAAACCGATTGGTGAAATAACGGACGGCCCGGCTGCACACAGGTGCGATCATTTGCACCTGGCGTGCGTAGGAGTGCACACAGAAGAGGCCGTGCACACCCTGGTGTAGCCAACGGCAATGCCAAAGTGTGCACCTGATACACGCGTGGGGAACACAAGACTCTCTTCCTGTGCGGGAATGCGGCTACGAGCCCCAAACTATGGACTGTGTGACTTTGCACTGCCCCAAATACAAATTTGAAGGTGGTTGGGTGAGATGGTGGGTAGGTGAGTGGGTGGACGAGTGGGTGTGAGAGGAGTGGGGAGCGGTAGTGTCACGGTTAGCGCGCTGCGCTATGAACCTGGCGACCCGGGTTCGATTCCCGCTCACGGCCAACACCAGTGACGATTATCTGAACCGGTCCCGGGCCTCCCCTAGGTCGATTCAGCCTCAAATGAGTACCTGGTGCGGTGTGTAAACATCGCCACTAGGGAGACAAAGGCGGTCGGGCGTGGTGCTGGCCACCCACCCCCTCGTGTACCGTTCCGGCCTTCATAGGTGCTCTCTAACAGCACTTGCCCCTACAGTCTGTTAAGGCTATATGGGGAATCTTTATCTTTGTTGTGAGAGGAGTGGTAGTGTACTGGTTAGTGCACTGCACTTCGAACTCGGTTACCCGAGTTCGATTCTCGCTCACAGCAAACACCGGTGACGAATATCTAAACAGGTCTTGGACCTCCCCTATGGTGTGGTGTGTAAACATCACCACTGGAGATACAAAGGTCACCGAGTGTGGTGCTAGGCATACCAACTCCTCGTGTGCCATGTTGACCTTTATAGGTGCTCGCTAACAGCACTGTCCCCAAAAGCGTGGGACCTTTGTCTTTGTAGAGGTGGGTACTTACCAACAGCACTTGCCCAACAGTCGACATAGGCTACATGGGGGATCTTTGTCTTTGTTGTTCATGTGCAGCTGTACCTGGGGGTGGTGCTGTCGGCCGTGGTGATCATCACCGCCTGCTTCTCCTACTACCAGGAAAGCAAGAGCTCCCGTATCATGGACTCCTTTAAGAACATGGTCCCACAGGTCCTGAGCAGCTACATATACATCACACACACACACAAGTACAACAGCTATTGTTCGCTACTCAAGTGATGGTGATGTCACCATGGCGCTCGTGCCAGGCTATATGCACTTTGAGGCCGTCAGGTGAAGTGTGGAAGGCTCAAGGTGTTGAATGGGGTTGACTAACTGAGATGTGCTTGTCGATGCAACACTATGCGTCCCCACTGTGTCATCACACAATACTGTGTCACCAGGAAGACTCCCGTATAGCCTTAATAGGTTTTTAGGGCATGTGCTGTTAGCGATTAGCACGTATGAAGGCTGGAATGACATACGAGGGTGTGGGTGGCCAGCACCATGTCCAGCAGCATTTGTCTCCATAAGTGGCGATGTTAACACACCGCACCAGGAAATCATTTGAGGCTAAGTCGACCAAGGAGAGGCCCAGGACCGGTTCGGATAATCGTCACTGGTGTTGGCCGTGAGTGGGAATTGAACTCGGGTCGCCTCCGTTCCCCACGTACAGACACACATACACACATAGACACACATAGACACATACAGACATAGACACACATACACACAGACATAGACACACATACACACAGACATAGACACACATACAGACATAGACACACATACACACAGACATAGACACACATACACACAGACATAGACACACAGACATAGACACACATACACACAGACATAGACACACATACACACAGACATATACACACACAGACATAGACACACATACACACAGACATAGACACACATACACACAGACATAGACACACATACACACAGACATAGACACACATACACACAGACATAGACACACACACAGACATAGACACACATACACACAGACATAGACACACACACAGACATAGACACACACAGACATAGACACACATACACACAGGCATAGACACATATACACAGACATAGACACACATACACACAGACATGCACAAACCCACCTCTAACACACTGCTAAAAAACAATAGACTACAATAGGATTGATATTGCGCATACATTCAACCGCACCTCCAGGGGCTGTACAAAACATTGGGATATGAGTATCACAGGCAAACAAAGGGATATATATATTCGTAGTTACTCGTGTATATATATTTTATAGAAGAGACAATCGATCATCGGCTAAGGAAAGTCTCGAGTGAGGACTTGAACAGGTGCAGGGTTGTGCGGACTTGAACAGGTACAGGGTTGTGTGGACTTGAACAGGTGCAGGGTTGTGTGGACTTGAACAGGTGCAGGGTTGGTTGGAGGAGGAAGGGATTCCTAGGTGATGGAGGGCAGAAAATGAGGCCCCTCGCAGTGAACGGAGGTCGACTGGGGACGTTCAGCAGAAGGCGTTAATTGCCGGAGTGTGGGCGGTTAGAGCCCCACTTAGATACGCGCAGCTCTGCCTAACATCTGCGTAGACTCTCAGACGGTTCAACATGCCGCACGACAGAAGCTTTCTGTTTCTGGCAGGCGGTTTGCTGTCACCATATGCCACTTCACGACTGGCTGTCTTTTACAAACAACGCGGTAATGCCACGCCTGGCCAGACGCCGGCACGTTTGCCTAAGTGCCACGGGGACTGCTTCGCTCTTCTTCATCACGAGGCCTGGCTTCTCACAGCCATAGACAGATTTAAGGTGTAGCAGCTTCCCGAGCGGCAAATGGAAATTCGTTTTATCCCAGAACTGGGGTCTTGCCCTGCTGATGAGCAAGGCGAAACTGCCGCACACGTGCCGATTTCATGGCTCCACCTCCACAGTGGACATCTTCCCCCCTTTGGCTGCAATGCCACCGTTAGTCTCAACCGCCGACCGTCATCCCTGCTAGCGACGTTGTCCTCCCCAAGCCCACTTTGTTACGTCAGCGTGCTCACAGTCGCAGCACATGGCAGCAGAATCCCTTGATCCCTGCGAATCAGTGTGCAATTACCCTGTGCGCAGCAAGCGCTGGTGATCCGCGAGGGCGAGAAGGTGCAGCTGAATGTGGAGCAGGTGGTGCTGGGAGACCTGGTGGAGATCAAGAGCGGAGACCGCATCCCCGCCGACCTGCGCATTGTGTCGTCCCACAGCTGCAAGGTACGCTGGGTAAAGGACAGAGGTCAAGCGTCTCGCCTCCATTAGAGATGCATCGTCACCCGTCGCAAGGTGTATAGAGTCACACAGAGATACATTAAAGACAAGCCACAGGAGTGCGACTGTGTATGTATGTTGAACTTCTTTCGCACCGTACGTAGCCAACCGCGCTAATCAGAGGTGCGACTACGACCATGCAACCAAACTATGGACCGCACAGCAAACCCACTGCGGTCTGCACTCTTTCAATAGAGGAGGAGAAACAGAAAAACTACTCAAACTCTCTATCTGCTGAAGCCCTATCGTCGTGGTCAGCAACAGACCTCCACATCGGCATTCAGCACCTGAACACGCTGCTTCTGCTGCTGCCATCGTCGTGCGCAAGAATAGATTGGGTCATGGCGGGATGGCGATCGTTGACGTCGCTCTCTGGATTACGGCTATCTGAGTTGGGATAACAGTTTGGGAAAAGACGAAAAGAATTGAAAAGCACAAACCGCGCACGTGCCTCATAGGGAACACGGCGCGTCTCACGCGGCCGCCATGCTCCTGGCGTGACGCCCCCAGGTCGACAACTCCTCGCTGACTGGCGTGTCGGAGCCTCAGAGTCGCTCGCCCAACTTCACGCACGACAACCCGCTGGAGACTCGCAACATCGCCTTCTTCTCCACGGACTGCGTCGAGGGTGGGTGCCGTGAGCGTGCGGGCGTCTGTGCACCTTGCTCACAGGTGCTTTGGAGTTCGCAAAGTGATTTTCGATTGAAACCAATCTCATTGGTTTTGCTTCCCGGAGTAGCAGATTAGGGATTAAATATAAGCGAGCAAAATAAAATATGTTTAAATAGCCCCTCCTCGAGCCGACTTCTCGGCTGTTGGAGGGATTTAGGCGATTCCGATGACTGAGCGCGAGCTGCTGTGCTGCAGGAACCGCTTGTGGAATCGTCATCAACACCGGTGACCGCACGGTCATGGGCCGTATCGCCACGCTGGCCTCCGGGCTCGAGGGCGGCCGCACTCCCATCAACATCGAGATCGAGCACTTCATGCACATCATCATGGGCGTGGCCGTCTTCCTCGGCGTCTCCTTCTTCATCCTGTCGCTCATCCTCGGATACAGCTGGCTGGAGGCCGTCATCTTCCTCATCGGCATCATCGTGGCCAACGTGCCCGAGGGTCTGCTGGCCACCGTCACCGTGAGTTTCGTTGCACGACCGCACCGGGGGGGGGGGGGGAGGGGGGGGGGCATGCCGAGCCAGCCCGGCCATGGCTCAAGAGGTGCCAGAGGTTGTTTTTTCCCCCCACTGCAGAACCCGAGCCGTGCCGCTGATGTCAAGAGCGCGATGAACGCGCATATTCAAGCATCCTGACTGATGCGACATATGTCAAAAATTATAGACCGTGCCCTTGGCTCTGCTTGGCTCTGAGCCAGATGCAGATGTCTTGAAGCCTGAGTTTCAAGGTGTTTGCTTTGGCTCAGCTCAGCAAATGGCCAGATAAAAAAAAACAACACCTGTACCACGAATGGAAGCGTTGTGTCAGAGACGCCACGTTGTAAGTACAGTACTTGTGTTTAGTCGCCAGAGTGAAATTCACAGCAGCAGGAGGGGGGAAATTGTCTAATCGCATGCACGTGTTTGTGTGCGCACGTTGTATATGTGTGAACGTGGGGAGGGAGAGTGTATTGGTTAGCATGCTGTGCTACGAGACCTGGCGACCCGAGTTCGAGTCTCACCCACGGATAATAACAGTGTCAAATATTTGAACCGGTTCATGGCCTCCCCAAGACAAAGGCGGCCGGGCATGGTGCTGGCCATCCACCCGCTCATGTGCCGTGCCGGCCCTCACTAGCTGTTCACTCACAACACTTGCCCCAACGGTGTATTAGAGACTATATGGGGGATCTTTGTCCATTGCATGTGCGTTCGCAGGTCTGCCTGACGCTGACGGCCAAGCGCATGGCCAAAAAGAACTGCCTGGTGAAGAACCTGGAGGCCGTGGAGACGCTGGGCTCCACCTCCACAATCTGCTCCGACAAGACGGGCACGCTCACGCAGAACCGCATGACGGTGGCGCACATGTGGTTCGACAACCAGATCCACGAGGCGGACACCACGGAGGACCAGTCCGGTGAGAGCGCGCGCGAGCTCCGTACGCGGACGCAGGGCGCCGTCGCTGGCAGGCGTGACGGGCGGGGGGTGCTCCTTCTTCGGGAGGCCACTCTGCCTGCAGTGGCGTGAGCGTGACCGAGGAATTGCAGGGTTGCACCTGTACCACCCGCGATGTTTCCTCCGCGCCAGGCACGGCGTTCGACAGGAGCTCCCCGACGTGGAGCGCCCTGGCGCGCGTGGCGGCGCTGTGCAACCGCGCCGTCTTCCAGGCGGGCCAGGAGAGCAGGGCCGTGCTCAAGGTGGGTGACCGCCCCTCTGCTCACCGCGTCGCTTCACTCTCCCTCCCCGCTCTCTCTCTCTCTCAGCTGGGGGTGTCAGAAGGGTGGGATTTTTTTTTGGCCATTGATGTCTTTGATACTCCTTTTCCACTGGCAAATCCGAGCTACACCAGGGCCGTGCCGTGCCAGGCCGTCACGGCTTAGGAGGCGCCAGGTTGTTTACCACTGACATCGCACGCATTGAACAAATCGGGACGTGTGTAGGCGATGCACTGACGCCGTTTCCTCAGTGTAATGGCTGACATCACGCACAATAAATGCATCATTATCCCCACGCGTGGCCCTGTTTGCCCCCCCCCCCCCCCGAGATTGATTCAGGGTTTTTCTTTTGAGGCCAGCATAGCATGGTTTTTGTCACGGCTTGGCAAAATAAGACAGTGGAAAATCACCCGTCCTGTGAGGGTCCTGCATTGTCTCCGCTCATGCAGTGCCAGTGGAAAAGGGGCACGACTGGAGAAAAATCCTCAAGTGTGACGATGACGACTGCTACCCACCAGACACCAAAGCGCGACCGACTTTGAGGGGGCACAAGAATAACTCGCGTGAACGGGAGACGCACGCCAAGATAAACCGGTGACGTTGTTAGAGGCAGCAGTGCACGGTGGAAGATCACAAAACGATAATTGTCTTTATATGCAGGAAAAACATTGAAACTAAACAATCAATAATTCTTGACGTTTAGATACATTTTATATTGTACTACATTCGATCTGTCTTGTCTAAACAAGCAGCTGAAATAAACACGCTGTTGGGAAAACCTATTATCAACTTGGTTCTCTTGAGAGCAAAACAAATTTGCGGCTTCTGAAACGTTTAGCTGGGTGCGCTGCTGGGCCTACTCAATGGCACTGAGAGAGGAAGTTGGTCAGGCGTGACTGCTGGGCGTGTGTGCATGTGTGGATGCACGTGTATGTGTGTGTGTGTATGTGTGGGCGCACGTGTATGCGTGTGTGTGTATGTGTGGGCGCACGTGTATGTGTGTGTATGTGTGGGCGCACGTGTATGCGTGTGTGTGCATGTGTGGGCGCACGTGTATGTGTGTGTGCATGTGTGTGCGGACGTGTATGTGTGTGTGTGCATGTGTGGGCGCACGTGTATGTGTGTGTGAGCATGTGTGGGCACACGTGTATGTGTGTGTGCATGTGTGGGCACACGTGTATGTGTGTGTGTGTGTGCATGTGTGGGCGCACGTGTATGTGTGTGTGTGCATGTGTGGGCGCACGTGTATGTGTGTGTGTGCATGTGTGGGCACACGTGCATGTGTGTGTGTGCATGTGTGGGCGCACGTGTATGTGTGTGTGTGTGCATGTGTGGGCGCACGTGTATGTGTGTGTGTGTGTGCATGTGTGGGCGCACGTGCATGTGTGTGTGTGCATCGCAGCGCAACGTGGTTGGTGACGCGTCCGAGTCGGCGCTACTGCGGTGCGTGGAGCTGTGCGTAGGAAACGTGCGCGACATGCGCAGCAGAAACCAGAAGGTGGCCGAGATACCCTTCGACTCCACCATCAAGTACCAGGTACCTGCACATGCAGAGACACAGGTGCCACCGTACAGCCTTTAATAGGCCGTTCGCTCACAGCACTTGCCCCAATAGCCTGTTAAAAGCTATACCGGGGGTCTTTGTCTCTGCGTGCGTGCCAGCTGTCCATCCACGAGTCGGATGAACCAAACGACCCACGCTACCTGCTGGTCATGAAGGGTGCCCCGGAGCGCATCCTCGACCGCTGCTCCTCCATCATCATCGAGGGTCAGGAGGAATCTCTGGACGAGGAACTGGAGGAGGCCTTCCAGAACGCCTACCTCGAGCTGGGCGGGCTGGGCGAGCGCGTGCTGGGTGAGTGGTCGCCGACCGCCGCGAGGGCGGCGAGGCGACCCAGTGGCGGTGTCGGCGGAAAGTGTTTGCTCACCACGGGTTTGGTTCCGGCGGCCGCCCAGATAAATACTTCGGTGTTGATGGGGGTGGTGTGTGAATCGTCGAAAGAACATTGCCATCGTGTGCCGGAATCACGGTCCAGATTCGATAAATTTCACCTGCAAATCACTCAATTGAATCTACGGAGAAATTGTCGCCCCCCCCCCCTCCCCCCTGCTGTGAAGACGTGGGCAGAACCCTCATAAAAAAGAGTCATGAGACTCAGTGAGGCTCTCCTGGGTGATCAAGCAGAATATTACCTCTCGAAGCCCTTCCTCTGGATGGAATCCTGTGACCCTCACCTGACCCCTGTGGCCAATCACCACGAACCTGATGCTCGCCACTCTTCCGAGTCTCCTCCCTCCCTCTGCCTTTGTCCTTCGGATCTTTAACGTCCACTGTGAAGCAAGCTGCGCAGAATATTTGCTTAATTTGGCCGCAGCAGTATTCACCAGGGCGGCCGCCGGGCTCGAACCACGAAACCTACGAGCGGCTCCTGCGCGTGCTCTCAGGCGCTCGCGAGAGGCTGCCGCTGAGTTGGCCGACGGCCGACCATGGGTAACGCTCTGTGTGCCTCGCAGGGCTGTGCCAACTCCGCCTCCCGGTCGACCAGTTCCCCAGGGGGTACGCTTTCGACACAGAGAACATCAACTTCCCCATGGAGGACCTGTGCCTGGTTGGCCTCATGTCCATGATCGATCCTCCTCGTGCCACCGTGCCCGACGCCGTGGGCAAGTGTCGCTCGGCTGGAATCAAGGTGAGATTCCAATTTGCGTGCGGATTATTCACAGTGCACGATGATCTTCTTGTTCTTAAATTCTCTGCCCAACGGCTGATTATGGTGATGATGTTGCTTTGTGTGGATTATAGGTCATTATGGCAACAGGAGACCATCCCATTACCGCAAAGGCCATCGCCAAGAGCGTTGGCATCATCTCCGAGGGCAACGAAACGGTAGAGGACATTGCAGCGCGACTCAACATCCCCGTAAACCAGGTGGACCCAAGGTGAGGACAACATCTCCCCCATCGCTATCGTCTCACATCCACCAACATCATCTTCACCATCACCACCACCATCTCACGTCCACCAGCATTACCTCTACCACCACCATCACCCTCGGCGTGTGTAGCAGCGTGTGAGTTATTTTTGTGAGTTGTTTTGCGTGAGTGTAAACTGTGCGTGAGAATATGTGAAAATGCGAGTGAGAATGAGCTGTGTGAGTGAGCCGCGCGTGTGTGAGTGAGCCGTGTGTGAGTGAGCCGTGTGAGTGAGAGTGTGTGAGAGTGAGTGCGTGTGAGTGAGCCGTGTGTACACTACACTAGTCTAGACTAGTCTGGACAGGCAGGTTTGCGTGTTCCCGCGTGCACGTACACCCATCATCATCATCACAATCCATCTTCACCACCCATCATGATTACCATTCATCACCAACACCATCACCCATCATCAACACTCCGGTAATCAATAAATGTTCTTATGGAACATTCTTAATCTATAAGTAAATTAAACGTAATTGAGGATTCACGCTTTGCCTAGAAACAGGTTAGTAGGCCTCAAGCATTAGGCCTAACGGTTTAAACTTTAATTTGGTTACCCAACTAAGGTGTTTAAAAACTTAATTGCAGAGATCTATAGGTGGCAGATCTTCAGTCACCCCTAAATCTGTTAGTGCATTTTTAACTAATTTGAGGATTAATTCTCACGCCACAGGCTTCGTCTAATAACAGGTTAATAGGCCTCACGCCTAAAGATTTAAACTTTAATTTAGCTCCCCATCTAAAGTATTTAATAACTTAACCATTTTACAGAGGTCCTTCGATGGAAAATTATCAGTCACCTCTTAATCTATAAGTATTTTTAAAACTAAATTGAGGATCAATTATCTTGCCGCAGGCTTCGCCTAGTACCAGATTAGTAGGCCTAAATATATAAACTTTCAATTTGTTTACTCATAGAAGGTGTTTAATAACGTAACAATTTTTACCGAGATCCATAAATTGCAGATTATATGTCACCCCTTAATCTACAAGTAATTTTGTTAAATGTAATTTGGGGATTAGTTATCTGTCATGTTATCGTGGTTCGAGCTGTTCATAAATGTTGCAGAGGTAAAGGTGCAGTCCTGCAACTGCCGGCTCATGCCGCCACGAGAGGAGGCTCTCGAAGCCTGATGAGATCTTCCTCAAGACATGGCCCAGGCCTAGTTAATAGTGCGACGGACCCCAAGCTGTGTCCCTGCCAAGGCAACATCGCGACGGACCCCAAGCTGTGTTCCTGGAAAAGAATGAAAATAACTCGTATAATTCTGTAGATTTTTCTGGCAGGAAAGGTGTTGGTGTTCTACATGTCAACATCAGAGGGCTTGTGATTAAATTAAGTCAACTAAAACTAGAAGTGGCAAATCTTGACCCGGACATTTTTCGCATAACAGAAACATTTCTCACGCCTGCCGTCAATGACTTGCAGATTCTGATTGACAACTACAACCTTTTTCGGTTTGACCGAGGATCTAAAGGAGGTGGAATTGCCATCTATGTTTGTAATACTATTGCATGTTCACTAGCTCACTCCTTGTTTAAAAAAAATGTTGCTTTGAAGGTCTGGCTTTTAAAATAACTCTTCCAAATAATCAACAGATATTGGTAGTGTGCTGCTATCGACCGCCTAGTGGGAAGGATGTTAAAGCTGCATCTGCACTGAGAGAGCTTTTTGGGGGCCTCCCTAAAAGTGAAATAGTTTTAGTGGGTGATCTCAATTGGAATTGGCTAAACCCGCCGGCCATGGCCACAAATTTTGCGGATGAATTTAATCAGTTTAAATTAATAAATGTCCCCACAAGACCCAACCTAAAAAATCTGGGACAGTCATCTCTGCTTGACGTCCTATTGACAAATGCCCCTCACAATTTCACACTGACTGGTGTTCTGGGTAATAACCTTAGTGATCACTCCTTCATTTTTGGGGTGAGATCATCAGCCAGACCCAAAGCCCCCCCTAAATTCGTTGAGAAGCACTCTATGAGACACTTCAGCACTCAGGCATTTACTAATGATGTGCTTCACTCGGATATTGACAAGGTCTGTGATATCCTCAACCTGACTACGGCTTGGGAGACCTTCAGGTACACGTTTCTCCAAATTCTTAACAAACATGCTCCGTTAGATTTAAAACTAAAGGCAACCGCCCACTATGGTTTGATCCTTTGATTACAAAGCTCATGAAAACTAGGGACAAGGCTTGGGCATGTGCTCAGAAAAGTAATTTGGTCAATGACTGGCTAGAATACAGGATTTTAAGGAAGAGATGCGCCAAAAAAATATGGCATGCAAAAAATGCCTACTTTTCCTCCACTCTCCTGGAATCATATGGAAATGCCAGGATTTTCTGGAAAACAATCAAATGTATCGAAAAGGCATCCAAAACAGACAATCTGCCCATTGAGCTTAACCGAAATGGGGAATATTGTTCAGATCCCAAAAAAATAGTTGACAATTTTAACCTTCATTTTTCTGAAGCTGATAATCTTTTTGATAATGTATTGGGAGTCACCCCTGCTCATGCAAATTCCTACACCCCTGTCCAAACATTAAACGAATTTAGTTTCCAGCCAATCCACGAAAGTAATGTTCTGAAACAACTGTCCTACCTCAAAGGGTCCTCCTCTACCGGAGCAGATAGTATTCCCATCTTTGCTCTACTAACTGTTGGTCACCTAATATACAAACCTATAGCCCATATTTTCAACCTGTCCATCAAAGAAGCATCAGTTCCTCTAGAATAGAAATATTCCTATGTATGTCTGTCCACTTCACAAAGGGGGCCCTAAAGATGATCCAAATAACTACCGACCTATCTCAATTTTTTCCCCGTTGATGAAAATTTTTGAAAAATTATTGACCTACCAAATTAGCAGTTTCCTGTCCACCAACAATCTACTACATCTAAAACAATCTGGGTTCCGAAAAAAATACAGCACCACATTTCCTGCATTAGACTCTCTGAATCACATTTACAGTAGCCTTGATAATAAGCAGTACTGTGCCTGTCTTTTTCTAGACCTGTCCAAAGCTTTTGATACAGTAGACCACAACACCCTGCTTAGTAAACTAAGTTACCTCGGTTTTTCCGAAAACGCAGTAAAATGGTTACAAAATTACCTCTTTTCTCGCACCCAAACTGTATTCACAGATGGTTGGAGGTCAAACAGTGAAGGGGTTCCACAGGGTCCCATCCTCGGCCCCCTTTTGTTCTCTCTTTATGTCAATGACTTGGGCACCGACCTGGATCATTCCAGGGTAAATCTTTTTGCAGATGACACGATACTGATTACTGCTGGCCGCTCTCCGGATGACGTGATTGCAAAGCTACAGGGTGATTTCAACAAACTACAACATCAGCTAGTTGCTCTTAAACTAGTCCTGAATACCTCCAAGACCAAGCTGCTATGCTTCTCACCAGGACTAAAGCAGGAAGTTATTTTTCCCAAATTACATTCCTTAAATAATTATCAAATAGAGCAAGTCAAGATCTATAAGTATCTTGGGGTCATCCTGGATTCAAAACTGAATTTTGAAGATCACATTGATTATATTGGTAAAAAGACAAAAATTGGTTTTCTGTATCGACACAAGCACTGCTTCCCCCAATGTTCTGTTTGGAATTGATAAAAGCTACCATACTGCCTCTACTTGACTACTGTGACATCGTGTATAAATCAGCCCCAAGTACTGTACTGAAGAAGCTTGATTCTATCTATCACTCGGTCTTAAGATTTATATTGAACTGCCCATATAGGACTCACCACTGTGATCTCTACATTGGGTCAAACTTAACATATCTTAATGTTCGACGGCTTGTGCACCAGATCTTATTTATCCACGATGTATTTACAAAAAAATCCGCAGGCTACCTGCTGGATCTCCTCTCTGTTTCAAAGAACAAATTTGACCTCAGGTCTTCGCTCATTTACCAGCTTCACATTCCCTATTGCCGTACAAAAACTGGAAGAAGGGCCTTTGCTATTGATGCCCCCAGAGTCGGGAATGCTATTGCCACTAAAATGCAACTTGAATCGCTACCAATGAGATCTCTCAAAACTGCTCTAGAGTTGTACACCCCTAGCTGCCACTGCTATTCATTGGCGTAAAATAAAATAAAATGTTTCGCTCCGGATGACGCTGCAAAGTATTATCTGTATTTTGATTTAGCGTGCTGATCTTAAAGGTGCATTGAAAAATTTGATATTCCGACTGATGCCTCTGTTGTTGTAGAGTAACTCATGCAGCCAGCTATGGCTCTAGGATTTGGTGTTACATGTTATTTATGTAGTTTATTGTAAAAAATTCGGTCACAGTCCCTGTGATCACTCTTACATTGCAATTATGGCTTCATTTTTTGGTGATTTGGAAAACGTTTTTTTTTGGTTTGGACATGTTTGTTTTGTTGTAGTATGGAGTTAGACTGATAGCCTTAATCTAAATTTTCTTGTGGTTGTTGTTGTTTGACTTGCATCCCACTGGGATTTTTGCACACAGCGTTGGTGTACGGTGCTTTTTTCAGGAATATTTTGCTGTTTTTTCTTGGATTTTCTGTTAGCACAGTCACATAGTCACTTTAAGATATTTTTCTTGTTCGTGTTTTTGTTTTTGTCTGTTGTGGTTGCACCCGATTCAAGAGCCGAATGTCTCACAGGGCTATACCAAAATAAATAAACTGAAAATGAAAACTTAATCGTCCCCACCAACATCTTCGCATTACCAATATGGGGAATTGACGGGGTCACTCGCGTGCATTCTGGCCAGCACTCTCTCACCGGCCAACGCGCGGGGCACTCGCTAGACCGCGGTCCCCACGTGGCCTCCTCGGCCTTCTGATGCTGGGCTCTCCTGTCATCCTTCCGTGCCGCTCAGAGATGCGAAGGCGTGCGTGGTGCACGGTTCGGACCTCAAGAACATGACGGAGACTCAGCTGGACGACATCCTTAAGAACTACACGGAGATCGTGTTCGCTCGCACCTCCCCCCAGCAGAAGCTCATCATCGTGGAGGGCTGCCAGAGACAGGTGCTCACACGCACACACACACACGCATGCCATACGCCATGCTGCTCCAAGTAAAAACAGAGCTTTTGGCACCAACAGCTGGGCATAGTGGCCGATTTTGGGATTTGTTGACACGCGTGTGTGTGTGCGTCTCTCCGTGTTTGCCTGCAGGGTGCGATTGTGGCTGTGACGGGAGACGGTGTGAACGACTCCCTGGCGCTCAAGAAGGCCGACATCGGCATCGCCATGGGTATTGTGGGCTCTGATGTGTCTAAGCAGGCTGCCGACATGATCCTGCTCGATGACAACTTTGCCTCCATCGTCACCGGCGTGGAAGAGGGTGAGTGACCCTCGAGTTTCATCGTCATCAGAATCATCTTTGGTGTCATCACTACCACCATTGCCTCCTTTGTGAGGCTAGCGTGGTACCGGCTGTCACGCTGTGTCGAGTTGTCGGATGTTGGTGGCTCTCCAGCGATCGTCTCCGGGGTGGAGAGACGCAGTTCCTGTGCATTGCGAGTGCACAGCGGGGCCAATGCCAGCGCTGACCGTTGTTTGTGTTTCAGGACGACTGATCTTCGACAACCTCAAGAAGTCGATCGCGTACACCCTGACGAGTAACATCCCCGAGATCACGCCCTTCCTCTTCTTCATCCTGTGCAACATCCCCCTCCCGCTGGGCACCGTCACAATCCTGTGCATCGACCTGGGCACCGACATGGTGAGCAGTGGCCTCCGCGGCGCCAGCGCGCACGGCAGCGCACCTCAAAGCCGGCGGTGGCATCTTGGCATCTCCGGAGCTGCGCGGACGTTGAATCCCAACCCCGGAGCCCGACTCTAACCGCGACGCGTTTGACGCGATGCAGGTGCCCGCCATCTCCCTGGCGTACGAGGCGGCGGAGAGCGACATCATGAAGCGGCAGCCGAGGAATGTGCGCGTCGACAAACTGGTGAACGAGCGGCTAATCAGCATCGCCTACGGGCAGATCGGTACGTGGGCACGCGATCCTAGCTTCTGCGCCTCGCGACGCACGCACGCACGGTCACCGCTACCAGTGGCCACCGCAGCCCCATGATACAGAGGGAGCAGCGATCCACGGACTCGCACATTCTCAGCCATCGTCCGATTAGCACAGTTGGCTCCGTACGGTGCAACAAAAATTCAACCCACATAAGTACATCGTCAGCCGTGGTCTTTGCATCACCTCCACGCCGTTTTACATGAAAGTCACATTTATCGGTATGCTGCGGTGATGTCTTGGCTACCACACTGGACTTGCAACCCAAGATGTTGCTGGTTCGATATACTGGCAGCTGAAACATCGATCACTTTTCTTAATTCCCCTCTGACCTCTGTCCACCCAGTCGTATAAATGGGAACACCACAATCAGCTGGTTGCGTGTGGTGGGGTAAACCAGTGGGCAAAATATCCTCTGGAGGGGCTCTCCAGAGCTCTATCTCTTGGGGGCCTTCCGCCAGCGGTGGCGTGAGTGACCAATTGCAGGATTGCACTTTGCTGTCTGCTGTGTGCACGTTTGTTGGTGCCAGGCATGATCCAGGCCCTGGGAGGATTCTTCACCTACTTCGTGATCATGGCCGAGAACGGGTTCCTGCCGTCCAAACTCATGGGGCTCCGCATCGAATGGAACACGAGGTCACAGAACGAGCTGGAGGACAGCTACGGCCAGGAGTGGGTGAGAGTCCGCGCACCACATGAGCCTCTCCAAGGATGCATACGTGCAAGGGCAGACGTGCGGTAGACTGTGCTCGCATGTGTGTGTGTGTGTGCGTGCTTGTCTGCTCGCTAACAGAACTTTCCCCAACAGTCTGTTAGCGCTATATGGGGAATATTTGTCCAAATTGCACACGCCGGCGTGTTCCAGACGTACGAGCAGCGCAAGATCGTGGAGTACACCTGCCACACCTCGTTCTTCGTGAGCATCGTCGTGGTGCAGTGGGCCGATCTCATCATCTGCAAGACGAGACGCAACTCCGTGTTCCAGCAGGGCATGAAGTGAGTGCCGCCTCGGCTCTCGCGCGGACGCTCGTAAACGCGGCGCTCCTTCGTCCGACCGCACCACCGTCATCGCGATTGGTCGATTAACGAAGTTGCGCGGCTTGTCCGGCGTCACGCGGAGTTTGGAGTCGGGCAGCCCCCGTGGACCGGCCGTGCCGCCCCTCTCCGCCCGGCGGGCACGGCCGGGAGGCAGTCCCCCTGCTGACGGCTGCTCTGTCACTCTCCCAGGAACAAGGTGCTGATATTTGGGCTGTTTGAGGAGACCGCCCTGGCCGCCTTCCTCTCCTACTGCCCGGGCATGGACGTGGCCCTGCGCATGTACCCGCTCAAGTGAGGGCCAACCCACTCGCTCTCTCACTGGCTCACTCACTCGCTCGTCTGTCTGCAAGCCAGCGTTGTACCTTTCATTATGTACCCGCTCAAGTGAGGGCCAACCCACTCGCTCACTCACTCGCTCGTCTGTCTGCAAGCCAGCGTTGTACCTTTCATAGTCATTATTGTCGTCATCAACCGTGACCAATCCGTCTCCATCCACCTCGCACCATTCCTCTACACAAGCCGATTTTCATCGTTCCATCTCTTCGCAGCGACGTTCCATTCTTTAGCCACCACTCCGTCGATATCCTCGACCATCAACCATCGTCCCCGCCAGCGAGGGCCTGCAAGTGACGCCGACGGGCGCTGCACGCACGGCTTCTGTGCTGCACGCACGACTTCTGTCTTGCTCACTGGTGTCCCACTCGTCGGCCCGTTCCACCCGAGTCTGTCCAGTAGGTGGTAGGGCGCGGATTCAGAGGCCAAGGCGTTAAGATGGCGCTTATGAGAATCCTGGGTTCGAAGCCAAGAAGCTGCCTTGTGACTCAACGGAGCTTCTCCAGTGAAGCGCTGAATCGATGGTGTTAGCCAGGTCACTCAATGGCTGCGCACAGAAAAGCATCACAGTACAGAAATTAGTTATATTCTTAATTGATCAAAATGTCAGCTCTCACAACTCGAGTCATAACATGAACATTGCTCACACGTGGCAAGGCAGGTGGACAAGTGCTGTCCTCGACTGTGTGGACCAGAGGTAACCTAAAGGGACTTCAGATGTAGCTCTGTGATATCCGCTTCTGTGAGCCATTCTCTAACAGAGGGTTGCACCGAGTGGATACTTTGCCGCGTGACACAACGCCTCTAGCACAATCGGGATACAATGAAGGAACTTTATTTAAAAAAAAAAGCAGCTGAGCAAGAAGAGTTATGAGAACAGAAACGAAGTGCTTTGAGTTTCATTGAATTTTTGAGCCAGGCAACCGGAGAACACGCACTTAGATAAACCACACAACACTTGTGTCTGCCCTGTGACCTGCCAGCGTGCCTTTGGGTCGCACGCTGCACCTCTCCTGGCACAGCAGTGAGTGGTGGTTGTTGTGGGTGTTGTTGTTGTGTGTGCGCAGGTTGAGCTGGTGGTTCTGCGCCTTCCCCTACAGCATCCTCATCTTCGTGTACGACGAGGTGCGCAAACTCATCATCCGGCGCAACCCTGGGGGTGAGCGTTCCAGTCGTTGTCCGACCCGCCGCAGCTGGCGCTACCCAGCCTTGTGGGAGCATCAATACCAAATAAACTAATTAGTATTCAAAGGAAATTTTAGAAAAATGTTCCTGGCACATTGCACTGTGGGAAAGTTGGAGCATTGCAGAAATTGTCTGGGGGAGGGGGGGGGGGGGCGGTGTTGACCGTACTTCACTGTCAGTGCACGTTGGTCAAGGTGAGGTATATCGGTGTTGGAGTACAGTTGATTAAAAAAAACTATCTAAATCAAATCCATTTTTATCAGCCTGGACCTCTTGCTAGATCAACCTAGCCCATGGTGCCCGGGCACGGTGCTGGCCACGGGTCGCTATCACAAGCCACTTTGCCTTATTAGGTGCTCCTCCACCAAAGAGCACTTGCCTCAATTGTGTGCATGGCTGAACACGGGACCTTTGATCTGTGCGGGATGGGGCTATGTGTATGAGCGTTACATGTTTAGGTCTTTGATGGAGAGATGAGTTGTCGTATCTGATGGTATTGATTGTGTGTGCGTGCATGCGTGTGCGGCGGTTAGCGCAATGCGCTACGAACCCGGCAACCCTAGCTCGATTGCCGCTCACAAGCCAACATCGGTGATAATTATATGAAATGGGCATGGGCCTCCCCTAGGTCGACTCATCCTTAAACATTAGTAACTGGTGCGGTGTTTAGACATCACCATTAGGGAGACAGGAGGACGGCCACGGTACTGGCCACCCAACCCCTCGTGCGCTGTGCTGGCCTTAATAGGTGTTCGCTAACAGCACTTCCCCCAACAGTCTGTTAAATGTGAAATGGGGGATTTCTGTCTTTTTGTGTGTGTGCAGGCTGGGTAGAGAAGGAAACCTACTACTAGGAGCCGCTCTCCTTCTGTTGGCTACAATTGTCAATTGCCCAGCTGTTCGCGTCGTAATAAATGCGGATTAATCACAGCAGAACACCTTTAGACGTCTAACCACTTAAACCGCTGTTTGTGGAATTCAAACGGAATATTGCGGACATGAAATCAATTTATTTAACGAGCTTCGAGGAATATTTACTCAACCGGAATTCCAGTTTTTCATCTGCCGATTGGCACAGCCCTCGTCTTCACGAGACATCGCGGTGGAGCGGAAGCAGAACGACGGCGGAGCCACCCGTGGATCGCACCCCGCGCTCGTGCGGGGGGACAAGGCAGGAGCTGCACGCGACACCAACCCCCCTTTCCCACTCGCCCGCCCGCCCTAGCGTCGCCTCGTCACTACTCTCGGCGGCGGCCTGGCTGTCAAGAGCGTAGGAGGTGGAACTGTGCCAGCGCCCATGGGACAAAGGAAGCCTTGGCGCTGGGGTCACAGAGAGGGGGTGGGGCTTGCTGCCCCCCCCCCCTCCCCATTTGATTTCTTGTACTCGGGTCCAATGGCGGCCCCACGACACTCTGACCGCCGTCTCAGCGATTTTCCGTAAGGCTTTCACCATTGTGGGGTTTGTTTGTTTGTTTGTGTTTTAAGTTGCAATCGCACTGGGGCGGTGACGCACTGGGGCTTGTTGCAGAGGGTCACGGTTCGAGTTCGGTGGCTGCCATGGTTAATACTGCGGGCTCCGCGCCGTTTATTTCGCAGTTAATGATGCCGTGACGTTATTCGACGAAGATTCGGCCACATATGCCGGTGACATTGTCCATCTTCGATCAATTACTCGCAAACTACTTATTGGAGAAATATACATCGCAACATCGTCCCTCTACTTGTAGACTCGTGCCCATTGGCAGGCTGGCACTGCACCCACCTGATGCCACGCAAGAGAAGTTGAGAGTCCCACAGGCCACACAACCGCAGGGCAACAGGAGAGTTGAGATGAGACGTGATGCAAGGCGCTTGCCGAGAGGCATCTCGGCAAGCGTCACTCTCAATGTAAATCCTCATGGCGTCGCTCCAGCGCCGGAGCGGAGATGGCGACGAGAAGCCGTGAGAGCGAGCGGTACTTTTAACGCTCGAGGAGGTCAAGAGGTCACAGTAGCGTGAGCTCCACGCTGGGCTCCCTCACGCCGCTCCATCTACGGTAGGAGGCATAAAGGAAGGGTGGGGGTGGGGGGTCTCAGCAAAGTGAGCGTGTGTCAAGAGGGGGCATTGCGGGGGGAGCTGGAGGGCCATTTCGATTGGGTCTCAGGTGGCAGTTCATTTTGCGAATGAAATGAGTGGCGAATATATTCCTCGACGAAGCTTTTTTTGTTTTTATTTTAGTCAACGATGGATGGAAATCATGGAGCGTGGCTATGGCTACGGCAACTACCGACTACCACGGCGCGGTTGTGACGAGACGAAAATAATGAGTAGAGAGTCGTGTGAATGGAGGGCCGGGCTAATATAATTTAGTAATGTTGTTAGAGACGCTGGGGTGAGGGGGTGTATCACGCACCCCTCACACCCGCGTGTAATCACTGAGAGTGTTGGTCTAAATGCGTCACTGTTTTAATCAGCCAACGAGTTATGACTCCACGAGATTCACAGTCTCAGACTCCATGGGCTCGTGAGAGAATGGGGGTGTGTGCTCGGGTACTACGGGGAGGGAGAGGTATCTCGCAGGAGTTAGGGGGGGCGGGGGGCGGGGGTCTCAGGCAACCGCTGTAGCTGATTGGGAGCGGAACGCAGGGGGCCCGATGCGTCCACCTAACGAGCTCGAGCGCGCACCTCGTTCTGGCGCGACCTTTGGCTCACCAAGCCCCGTGCAGACACTCGGGACGTGTGAGCTCGGGCCGAGGGAAGGGCTCCCTTGGGGTCGAGTGTGCGATGTTCCCATGCACCTGGCAGGCACTTCAACCACGCGTTCACCATTAAGAAAGGAGACACGGGCAGCAGAGAGAGAGAGAGAGATTGTGTGTCTGTGTATGTCTTTGTGGGTTAGCCGGGCGGATAAAATGCAGCAAGTTGGCACAGTATGGGGGCACAGATGGCGCATCAGCCAGTCATCTCAGTCAGCCAATCCATGGCACCTGGGTCTGTCCCGAGATCTTTGTGTCAGCGAGCCTTCGACACTTCACGTGGCCTCGGAGTGCACCTGGCCTGGCACAAGTGCCGTGATGACGTCCCTGCCACTTAGTGGCGAATGGCGGCTTTTGTTGTGCCTGCAGCTGCTGCTGTCTGAGTGTTTGTGGCTTGGGACAGGAACGCCTCGTAGCCGTAGGTAGCGGGTGGCCGTGGCTAGCAGGGCCGAGCCGCCTCAAATCTATTCACTGACTAGCGTCCGAGCCCAGCTGCCACGGACAACCTCTCGAAGCCGGACTCGTCCGAGGGAGCGCGAGGTCGCTACTTGCGAACTACGTGGCAGACAGACGCAATAGGTGGACCCCTGCGGGCCATTGGGTCGCGAATATACCATATCTGCTCGTGGAAAACTTGCTCTCTCTCATTATTATTGGACATCGGTTTGCTAAAATTTCGTTTTTAATCATTTCAATTTCTTCAAAATGTAATTTCTGCCATTCCCTAAAATGTATCTTACCCCCCCCCACCACCCGAAAATAATATTTCACCTGCCGCATGTGCTTGTGGGCAGGGCTCTCCTGTCCAGCCGTCACCGTGCCTGGCACTGGGAGATTGCTGAAGCATTCACGTCACGTGAAACCCTTTCCCCTGCCACACCCCGAGCCACGCGAGCGTGTGGCCTTGGTGGCACTGGTGATTAAATGCCGTGCTGAATCGGGACAACATCGTGTTACGCTGGCACAAGACATCTGAATCTGGCTCGTGGCCAAGCAGGGCCGTGGGGTGGGGGGGGTTAATAATTTTCGTCACGTGACAGTGAAACGGCTCTAGCTCTGCAGTGGAAAAAAAAACTTGCCACCTCCAGAGCCGTGCCGAGATGGCTGCGCATGGCCCCGGCACGGCTCGGTTGTACAGTGGAAAATCGATGTTTGTCCTTGAGAACGAATTTAGGGTGTTCAGAGTGGTGGGACTGTGTGGTCGTTTGACTTTAGGTTATGCTTTTGGTGCGTGGGCGTGTTTTTGTTAAACGTATGCCCATCAATTGTATTGAAACAGGTGAAATATTAGACGTCTATTTTAAAATCAGATGAAATCCACGACACACAGGGTGACGTCTCTGTGATCGACCTCGGCGTGGGAGCAAAACATTCCCAATAAAACATTTCGTGCTCACGGGGAGAGTGTTGGCCGGTAGTAGTGCATTATATATGAGAACATAGATAGTTTACTGTAGTTGGTGTTTCAGAAAGCAACACATTTCAAGAGTGATAAAGATCCGAAGTTGTTGGTGGTGGGTCTGCACAAGTAGTAATGTGTGCCGTATCTTTATCTGGACATCTGTGAACGTCTGGACATGTGTGAACAAGAGCTTCATAGCTCATCGGATTCCTTTAAACACTTAAGAACTATACAGCTCCTTCAGGTGAACACGTTAAATCACACAATACAGGAGACCCTTGAATTACCGCGGGGGTTACGTTCTTGGAAAGTGCCGCGAAAGCCAAAACCGCGATATTCAATACTTAAACCTTAGCTGAATAATGAGGTTAGACACGGCCACCAAAGACGTCACAATTTGGAATAAGTACTGTGATGTATATGCCAAATTAACTAAATTGAAATAAACATGGAACACTCCTTCACACAAAAGACTTTCCTAGACAATAAATAGGAGTGCAATAAATGCCGTGTTACTTATTGATGATGATGATGATGATTCAAAGCGGGTGTGTGTTTGTGTTTGTCCGCGAATGGGGGGAGCGGTCGTGTCGTGGTGAGCGCTACGCTGCGCTACGAACCTGGCCACCCGAGTTCGACTCCCACTCACGCCCAGCACCTTTCACGATTATCTGAATGGGTCCTAGGCCTCTCCTAGGTCGACTCAGCCTCAAATGAGTACCTAGGTGCGATGTGTAAACATTTGTAAACATCGCCACGGGGGATACAAAAGCGGACGGGCGGTCGTGCGGGCGTGGTGCTGGCCACCCACCCCCTCGTGTGCCGTTTCGCCCTTCATAGGTGCTACTCACGAACAGCACTTTCCCCTACAGTCTGTTCATGAGCTACACGGGGGAGCTTTGTCTTTGCCCGCGAGATACTTGCAAAGGCTGAGGTGCCACTCACTGCCTCGAGTCCTTCGCGCGCCCCGCACCGCTGGCGAAAGGACAAAAATAACCCGGCGATATTCAAGGGTCTCCTGTACAGCACATTGACTTACTACAAATCACCCTGAAGTGTGCCCGATCTCGCCAGATCGCCGAAGCCAATGCAAGGTTGAGGATGGTTCGTGCGTGCACGGGAAACTACCTCTGGGGTTGCCAGGTGTTCTACAGGCTTGTGCTGTGAAGACGCCAGGAGGTGGTACGTTACAGAATGGATTCTTGATTCGTCTATGCAGGCATTTGAGTGTTACTCCCTCGCACGTGTGGTGGTTTTTTTCTCCCCCAGACACTCAGTTTCTTCCCATATTCAAGGTGCAGTACTCGTTGTTACTTGGCCATGTAGCGGTGCCCTCATGACAAAAAGTTTTGAAACTCGGTGAGGCTTTTACGGGGTCATGGGCATCATCATCATTATCATATACTAAACTAAACGTTTTATTTTACCAGAGCTGTATAGCTCTTTTTCAGAGGCGATGTGGCCACAAATGACAGCTCAACGAAATGGCTTATCATGTGGAAAATTGTAGCAGCCAACTACTCTAAACGCTTGATGCTAATTCTCCAAATATACAGCAGCAGCAGGCGTCAGGGTCGGGATGGAACCCACGACCTCCTGTATACCAGGCGAGGTAGTGAACATCTCCTAGCCACCGTGGCGCCCTATCACCATTGATCCAATATGCGACATCGATCCGACTAAGATTAATCTGCTCATTTGCAAGCAGACCGTGCGCTCAGCCGCGATCGTAGCTTTTTATAAATATTATCTCGTAAGTGGGCGGCACTCGCCCCTTGCGGTTTCATGTTCAGCTGCTGAAAATAAAAATACAGTACTCTGTTTAAACAAACTACGTGTTTTGATTCTACATTTTAAGGGCAATGCGCAGCCATTCAATTTCGTGCTCACACCACTGCTAGCGGAAGGACCTCCACGACAGGGAGCTCTAGAGAACCCCCTCCCCCCCACCCACCTCCGCCTCCCACCTCCCACCTCCCTCCCCCTCCCACCTCCCTCCTCCCCCTCCCGCCTCCTTCCTCCCCCCTCCCGCCTCCCCTTCCCACCTCCCCCCTCCCACCTCCCTCCTCCCGCCCTCCCACCTCCCACCTCCCTCCTCCCACCTCCCCCTCCCCCCTCCCACCTCCCCCTCCCCCCTTCCACCTCCCGCCTCCCACCTCCCTCCTCCCCCTTCCCCCTCCCACCTCCCCCCTCCCGCTCTCACCTTCCCCCTCCCCCTCTCGCCTCCCACCTGCCCCTCCCCCCTCCCACCTCCCCCCTCCCCCTCTCACCTTCCCCCTCTCGCCTCCCACCTCCCCCCTCCCACCTCCCCCCTCCCCCTCTCGCCCCCCACCTCCCCCCTCCCACCTCCCCAAAAGGATATTTGAGCAACCCTTTCATGCTGACCAGACGTCGTCTCGAAAGAAGAAGAAGAAGACGGCGTGGCAGTACCCACACTTGACCCCACCACACGCGACCTGACAGCTGACTATCGTGAACCCAAGTACACTGCTGGGTGGACAGAGGCGGTGGGGAATTGATGAGACTTGACCTGTTGTTTTCAACTGCCACGCCGGGAAATCGTATCGGCGACCTCTGGATTGCAAGTCCTGTGTGAGAACCGTTACACCACCGTGGCAGCATCCCTGTGAACTGTACATTACCGGAATTTAAATTATCAAAATATATTCTTTATTTACACATTGCTTTTACTTGTTTGCATTAAAAAATAACATTTTCGTAAGTTATTTCATGCCAGAGGAAAAAAAATTACACGTGTGATGCTGATTTCTGATCATTCTGGTATATTTCTGTGATGAATCGGGCGAATGCATGAACATTCTCAGGTGAGACTTTGGGTGTTTAACCATCAGCAAGTAAGGGTGGCTACGTACGGTGCGAAATAAGTTTAACATACATACAACAAAAGCTACACACACAAACACTAAGCCACATATCACCCAACGTGTCATGTCCAACACTTGTTTAGATGTTTCAGTTTGACATCAATTAAGTTTAAATGAACGCGGACCAATTGCACAGTACAGGAACCTAATTAGCGGCCTTCCTTTGTAAACCGCAGACGTGAGGCAATACGATTATGGACATTTAATTCCCTTCGGTCGAACTTGCCAGAGGCAAATGTCTATCAGATGAATTCTGAATCCAATGGGCTCAGAATTGTGCCCAATTATAAATTATCCCGTCTCGCCAAAGGAGCCTCCAATCATCCATTCGCAGTGGCGATCGCTGGGTTTCCATGCATAAATATAATCTCTTTCTCAAATAACTCATCTTACCAAACTTCCTATGAGGTAACTGACTATTTTTTTTTCTAAAACGGCATACTTGCTCTGGAGCGGCCACTGCTGACGATGTAATAGTTGAGTCCCGATTAAAACCATCTGTGATTGGCTGGAATCTGTCACGCGTGGCTTATT